TTACTCATGAAAACCACCAGCCAGCTTAGTATAAACTGTAGGTCACTTCGTTTATTAGTAAAGAAATCGCCTTGGGGTTTCCACAAATTAAGGGAGAAGCTTGTCCAATAATCGCATTATTGGTTACAAATTCATATATTTCTCTAGCTACTAGTAGAGTTGGGGGGTTAATAAGTTTCAGGCGACTAGTACAAGGGGGAAGATAATATTGAGAGTCCCAATGCAAATTTTTCAAGCCGAAAAGCAAAAATTACTTTTGAATGGATCAGAGTAGATTTGTATCTTTGGGTTCAAATTCCGAGTTGAGTTCTGGAATATAGTTTATATAGACCTATTCTCACTGTTACCGGTAAAAAAAATTTTGTTAATTTTTTTAACACCCGGAAGTGAATTAGGTATTCTGGCGCTAAGGTTACAATGTTTGAAAAAACTTTGGCAGCACTGTTTTTTTCAACCATGTCAAATTACATTTGCCAGTTGGTGAAGTAAAGAGAGGAATATTCACATCGAAACAAAAGACGGATGGCAACAAAATAAGTGAGTTGTATTTATTTTCATAGAAATATATCTTCCAAATTGAACGAGTCATTTTTTATCATAAACCTCTTGACATGCTCTTTCTTGCACTTTTTTCATCTTCAATGAATTCTAGATGTAAAATACGCCTGTAAAATTTGGTTTTTATTTTATATCAAATTAAAAACACGAAATCAAGGTCAGTGAAACGGGTAACTTGTTTCAACTTATAGCTTTTTATTATGTAAGTAGCTGTTGCTACAGTTTTGCAAGAAAAGCACACAACTCTGTTTTTTATGGTTTAGAATCATATGATATATTTTGCACCATTCAACCATGCGGTTTAAGCCCAGTTTTACATTACATGCAAAAAATAATTTTATGAAAATTTTATCTCAGAGAAAATATAATTTATAAATAGTGAAAAATTAAACGGAATTTTTAAATACTACTTTCTGAGTTCGATCAAACAGGTATGCCAAGTTTTGTTGGTTAGTAACTTGTGCCACACTTTTCCAAAGCATTGCTGAAAAGTTGATATGTACGCTTACACAAACGCTTATTTTAACTTGGAACGCATAAATGCTATAAGAAGTGAGCTGGAATAAATTAGCTAACCACTATAAGTTTCTACCACTTATTTGCTTTCATATTTATAAAGGGGTTCGTCTCCCGACGATTTATGGTCCTTTGCGTATTGCCAACGGCGAATATCGCAGACGACTGAACGATGAGCTGTACGAGTTATACGACGACATTGATATAGTTCAGCGAACCAAGAAGCAACGGCTACACTGGCTAGGTCAAGTGATCCGGATGGATGCGAATACTCCAGCTATGGTAGTTTTTGATGCAGTACCGCCGGTGAAAGCAAAGGCAGAGGAAGTCCTCCACTTCTTTGGAAAGCAAAAAGAAGAAACTAATGGCGCAATGTTGTCAAATCGGCTTTAATCGCAAAAGCGGTGTCTACCCCAGTAAAGTAATAATAAAAGTTTATATCCATTCTGAAAAAAAAATTTCCGAAATTTTTGAAAATCTCAATTCGTCAACTTGACTGTAACAGACTTTAACACACAAAAGTATTTAACAACTAAAAAATTCAAAATTACGAAACCTAGCCCTGCCCAAAGTAGAACAGTACTAATCATCATCCTGGCGGCTTCTTCAGGATCTTCTATAGGGAGCCCCTACTCTCTCCGAGTGTCGTCCTATCAGACAGTGGACTATCGGAACTCCTATTACTTTGGATTTTGAAAGTGTCTTTACCTTTTTATATTTGTAACTAAAATACTTTTTAAATTTTCTATTATTTACTTCAACAATCGCTTCGCCCTACCACAATGTCATGTATAAATTGCAAAGTAATTTTAAACAATTATTTATAAGAATGAATTAAATATGTATGTATGTACATATGTCCATGCGAGCATAAGTATGCCCAAATATAAATGTATATTTTACCAAATAAGATCGGTTATTTCACATAACTCACGTAATTAGATCTGAAAAAATTTGCTGACTTCATGGTTTTGCGTTAAATTCAAAAACTGGTTTACTTACTTCTTGTAGATTTTCTTTTTTTTGCATTTGGTGCACCTACACGATTAACCTTGTGGTACGACATGTGATTTATGTATTTTATTTTTATATTTTTGTTCATGCGAAATATGGCTTACCTCTTTTTTTTTGCACTCGCATTCATCAACGTTTGTGTGGCAAAGAGAAATAATCATTATTTAAGCCTGACTTCACAATCAATTTTTGGTTGATGTGATTTATTTTAAGGAGTGTCGTATGATTTATTAATATTTGTCTGTGAAAGTACTTTTTTTTTTTGATTTGTAAGGAAAATTGAATTTTGTACCCGTAGTGTGTAGTATTATTAAAAAAATTGCATATAACAATGATTTTTTTTGTAACTTTTTTGATCATAGAGATTTTTGAAAAAGAGTGTAAATGAATATTTTTTATTTACATTAAGTTTTAAGCATTGATGATTGGCGACGATAAATTTTACGTTAATCAAAAAATTCCTATCGATTCGCTTGAAACATTTAGAAATGTTATCGTTACAGCTATTACCAAAAGAAAGTTTATTTCGTGTTTACCTGGAATGAAATGCTGTTGTTACTGTTAAATCGTTAACAGATTGTTTGTACGGTTTCAACAAAATCAATTTTATTTCGTTTCGATAACATGGTGCCGAAACGAAGCGAAACGAAATTATTTCGTACCCATCTTTGTTTTTCATTTTAATAAAAGAACCAACAAACGAAGTGACATCGTTTTCTTAGTTGAGCCCCTCTGGTTTGAAGTAATATTCGGTTTTAATATTTCAAAGTAAAATCTCAATTCCAATAAATTTTATTAGTCTATATTTTCATTTTAATAAATTCGTAGTGATAGTCGATGTCGATAAAAGAATAGCATTTTAGCTTACTTTTCATGAAACTATAAAAAAATGTACTTAAAATTTTTTTTTTTTTTTTATAAATTCTTCATGGGATAACACTGTCATTAGTTTATCACATCCGTTTACTATTTACATTAATTCTATTAAAGATTGTTCAACAAACATATACCCGTATATATAACATAGCATGAGGTCTATATAATGCCAGTAGGCCAAACCACATTGCAACCCAGTTATGACAGCAAAATTATTTTTATGTTGTATTCCTTGTATGTTTTCATCACTTGTCTTTTGCTGCCGTACGTTCAAAAGCAAATACGCTGAGCGGTATTGAAATGCAAAGAAAAATATTCAGTACAAACCATTAAATAATATTTATGTTTGCTTGTGGGCATTTTTCTAAAGAAATTTCATGGAGGTCTCATTTTTCATTTTTCCTGCAAGCTAACGAAGATGATTTTGAGTTGAGTGAAAGCTATTAATGAAATATGAAATTAACAAATTACTTCTAGTCATTTTTTTCTTATTTTTTTGTAATTTTCTTTTCTTTTTCATTCTATTTAACTCGTGTGCCTACATACTGCATATGCAAGTGAGGAATACGAGCCCGAGAAGTAAGGAAAATCTTCAAAAAAAATCATTTATTATCTTTAATTCTTGAAATGACTTTTTACAAGCATTTTTGTTGTTGTAAATTGTAGGCCTTGCTGCAAGAAATTTGCTGAGTATGCATTCACTTGAAACGTGCTTTTTAGAAAATTCTTCATTCTTTTGGGGGTACAACAAGTCTATGCTGTGTATGTTGTTGTATACTTTACTCATACAAGTTAGTTCCAATGTTGAAGAGAAAACACTTATTTTTGTTTACATTTTTATTCTATATTTTCACAACATCATTTTCTGACCTTTGCTGCATTCTCAAAGTTAAATGATTTTTTACGGTGAAAGTCAATTTTTTTTAAATTATTAAGACTGCTGATAATGAATAAATGTAATGGTTATTTTTAAGAGAGGTAAGTAGAATTTCTTTTAAAAGTTGCAAGAAAAAAAGTAGGTGGTGAAAGTTTAATAACATACATAATAAAAAAGATCATAACAAATCATAGTCGAGAAGTTCCCTTAGCAATTCCATGGAGTTTTTAGGTAAGCAGTAACAGAGGCTAACTTTTATGTAAAGATCTCTCTAATCCGGAGGAGCCAAAACCTTTTTTCTAGTCGGTAAATTTTGCATACATTTAGGCCTTTTGCGCAATCTAGTAATGTTATATACTTTTCATTCGATTTCAGATTTCGAACATTTAAGTTGAAATACATTTTTAGAATAGAATCGACTTTGATACTGAGAGTTAATGGCGAGTACTATCAATTTTGCAAATTACTTATGCGATTTATTTATTAAATTTTGTAAACATCACAACACCCAAAAAGCTATCAAAACTTCCAGCAAAATCAGCCTCAACATTTCTCTCTGGGATGGATTGAAAAAAATTGCTAATATGGGTCTGATTGCGAATTTTGCATCAAAAACCTTTTCCTTCATTCAGAAAATAAAAAAAATCTTAAAAAACTTGACTATTTCGAAATCAAATTTCAAGAGTAATTTTTGAAGCTTTTAATAACACCAAACTGGCAAGTTCTATTCACAAAAAAAAGAGAAAAATTACAAGTTTTAAAACTAATCAGTTTGTGGTTGCCACATAAATTCGTTACAAATCAAATAGACATGAAAAGCCATTTAAAATTCATGTAAAACCGGTTGCCATGGCGAAACTTGGTACAAGAACTTGTCCGCCATGGCAAGACATAATTTATAGAACAATAAAAACAAATCAACGAAAACAAAATCTGCATTAACTGCAATGACCATTCAGGCAAATCCGGACGATTCGCCGCCGACAGGTGCTTGCAACAACAAGCTCAGCTTGCTGGTTTTAATAGCAACCCGTTTTGGCAGTAAAACATATATATGCATGACTATTTGCTTAAGAGTTAGCACTCACTTACTTGCAGTGTCATTAAATGTAAATTCAACTAAATCATAAATTAACATCAACCATGCGAATTAACTTACCGCGCAACTGATAGACTGGACTGCCGACCGGCGTGTTCTCGAGCAAACTGAAACGTGACATATCACCACTGCCGGGCACAAAGTGTGGCGGTTGATTTAGCGTTTGGCCATTCGCACTGCGCATGCTCAGAAGCAATAGTGTTTGTACTATTTGGAGTAGTTGCGAGTGGAGGATTATCGACGGACTCCAACGATGGCGTTGACGCCGCTGTGACGTAGGCGAGGAACTCCACATTTTACTGCAACTCTAAGAGGTGAGACGTTTTTAATACTTTTATTGACTTTGTTTAGGGTTTTTTTCACATTTTTTTTAAAAACAGAAAATAATTTTTTTAATATTTTTGCTAATAGATTTAGTCTTCGATTTTGTTTTATTTATTTAATTGAATTTAATTCAACCTCATTTAATATTATTTGATTTTAATCAAGTTTCTTTTCTGTATTATATTTAATATAACTTAACTTTTAGTAATATTTTAATTTAATTTATTTAATTTTTTTTTTGTGTGATTTTATTTAACAATTTTCCCAGCTTCACATGCTAAGCGCGTTCAACATTCTTGTCTCAGCTGATATTAACCTTGAGTTTCGATCTGATTTCATTGTCCATTTGTACCTCGAGTATCACTCAGCAATGTTTGCTTTTGTTTTCTACATACAATTCTAATATTACTTGTTATTTTCTCAGGCACTTTTTACTGTTGAACACTATTGGTCATTAATTTCAAGCACTGAAGTCACGATTTGATTGTTTTTTCTTGCTTTATTTTCTAATTGCACCGCACATACGTACATACCTACAATTTTTTGTATTTTGTATTTAGTATTTTACTATTGGTGTTAGTTCGTTGTTATTGGTTATTAAATTACTTGGTCTAAGTTGAGTACGTTCATATGTACATACTGATGGCAGAAATACTTAATTTGAATGTTGGTCTCACAGCATTCTTTAGTGATTTGCTCAGAGATCAGTAGTTTCTGAAGGTGGTAGAATGAATGGACATTAGCTTACAATTAGTTTTGCTGTGTTTCAGGGCTAGTTTGAAGCAAGCCAAATAGACACAAGCGAAGGCATGCATTGACTTATAAGTTCCAACGCTGGAAGAATAAATCTCAGAACCTATTTTTTGTTAAGTATGCCAAATATTTCAATTAATATGTTTTGGAGTAAACATGTTTGCATATTTCATGGATAAAAAATAAATATTAATCTCAAATTTTGTATGTTACATACAAAAATATTCGACACATCTCTCTTTTTCATTCTCCGCATCTCTCAGAGATTTTTGAAATTTCGGTTTTACTTTTTATTTTAATAATCAAAGCCATTTTATTTTTAACTTCTCTTATACCTTAATTTTTTTGGAGAGTTTTATAAAAAATTACTTCGTGATTTCTTTGCGCTTTTTCGTTGTAAATTTTGCAAAAATAAACAAAAGTTCCCCTAGAGCTCTCAAGTAAAAGTTGGTGAATGAAGTTAAATCAAACAGCATAATCTTTTTTCATCTGTTACTCTTTTCCTCTTTATGTCCACTATTTTTTTTTTTTTTTTTTTTAACAAACCAAATTCATTTGAGATACATACATACATTTCTTTGATAGCAATCAAAAGGGAACAGACGATTTTAGAAAGTGTTGAAGATTAGCTATAGCATAATCTTCAATATATATATATATAAGTTTTTTTTCCTTGCTATGTACTCGTATATGTATAAATTGTTCTCCAAGGATTGAACACATTTATCTGGACTAACTTTCAGTCCATAAGTATGAATAACTCTGGGTATTAAAGCAAATATCCAAGAACCATCCCAGATATTAACTGAATAATAATTTTAAATAAATGCAGGCAAACGTATATGTAAAAGTTGAGTTATGTAAACACATAATAATATATTTGCAATGGATATTAACTCCAAAAAAACCCGAGAGCTCTTTGAGCGGTTCAGTACATAAATAGTTATTGAATTTACTTCATAATCATTGGATTGAGAAAGCGTGAGAAGTCATTTTCAACGATTACGTATCAATTTTTCAAATTAAAATTTTGAGGTGGCTCAAACTCTAAGAATTTTTCAATACGAATGCATGCTTACAAGCTTGAAAGCAAAAAAAATAAATAAATAAATGCAGTTAAAATAAAATCATAACGAAGATAATTTTTCATATTTTCTCTCTGCTTACTGACTTTATTCACACTTAAAATTATGGTAACACATGCTCTGATGATTTTCTCAAGTATCAGACATGCATGCATACATGATCCAGCAATGTATTGGTCATTTACCATACACTAACTGTTTTCCAGCAAGTGCAAATTACTATATTAGTTGATGGGCAACAAGTGCTTAGCAGCTGCATTATAACCGTTGTTTGTTCATTTACTGTAACACTTCGCTCAGTTGAACACTGGACCGTTAATTTATGGGTTACCAGCAGGCCCTGCCAGACGTTGATACGAATTTTTTGATATCAAACTTCTTATTCAACAATACTATGCATGTTGTTATTATTGTGATCAAATGTGATCGAACCATACCTATTTTCGTCGATTTATTGTCCTAGACAAAGATACTTTCGTAAAAAATTTAACAAAATCTAACCATAAAAATATTTGCCTGAATAAGGTCTGGTTGGCTTACTGGAAAGAACTGAATTTCAAGTAACTTGAACAGTAAGTTTGATTATTTTAAAAAAAATCGGTTCAAAGCTCAAGGTTGATTATTTAATCATCCCTTTGTCCCTTCTCGGAAAAAGGAAATTTTCTCACGAAAGCGTTCTCCATGTAGCATACTTGGAAGATATGAAAAATTTAGTCCTCATCTCCAGCTTACGCTTATGTTCTTTCGCGTAGATTTCTACAGAAAATCTTGCTGGTGTTGACTGAAATGAGTTTTAAATTTCAACTGATTCTCACTAGAGCTTCTGTTTCAATAAGGCCGTCTTGAGTTTTTCTCTTTCATATACTAATTGTTAAACTTCTTTATTCTTAATATGTTGTGAGAGTTTCACTGTTCGGATTTTCTCTATTTCCGTAAAAATTCCAATTTAACAAATTTCCCACTCCAAAATTAATTGGAAACATCCTCTTTACCGTAACTGCAATTCATGAGCAGAAATCTACGTAGAGGATACTGGTACTAATGTAAGTTTTCTTATAAAATACGTCCAAATTACGAACAAATACGAAACAAATTTAAATAAAAAAAACTGAATTAAAATCTTTTATCGAACCTCTAGAAATTTTTAAAATCATATTGAGCTTGGGTAAATTTCTCCGCAAGGAACAGATGGGGATAAAAAAGAAATTCAGCCAAATCGGGCTGAGCCGTTTTAAATTGAGGAATTATTTATATAAAAATTAAATAAAGTAGATATGATACAAATGTTACAAATGTTGAGTCTAACCACATGTGATGATGTTTAAACTACAATATATATGGAAACTCCCATCATGTCAAACGTAACCATAGTTCACATAAAAATTGAGAAAGATCGCAAATTCTATTTCCATAATAACGTGAAAACTCGGTTATCAACACAGACCTCAGGAAAACCTGAGAGCTGTGATTCCAAAAATAACTAATTTTGGTCTTTGTCACTCGAAAAATCAGTGCTGAAACCAACTTCTTTAAATAAGCTCCAAGAAACTCATGCAAACTGAATTTGATGAAAGATGAAAAAAATTTTCATCCCCACAAATTAGGTCAGTTTGAAGACAATATATGTGGAATATTCAGGAAATATACCGAAGCAAAAGAACACGAAATCTACAATTGACCTGGGACGGACAGACAGAGGTTGTTAATAACACATGTGATGATGAAGAGCTAATGGGTCTACAATAAGCAATAGAATTTGGCTACTGGCTTACTTCAATTTGGTAAGATAACATCAATATTTCTAAAACTGGAGATACAATAATATTTCCAAGAAATGGAGGGGATTATAGGTGATAAAAAGCCGCCTCTAATCTGACCGGATTTTTATGGGGAGCTTTTATTTAATATCAGAAATACACTAAGAGGGATTAACGGTTTTTTCAAATATTTCACAAATTCACTTTTTACATTCATATGTGAAACTGTAATAGAGAAAAAGTGTAAAAACGAATAGTGTGGTGTTTGTTTGTGTAATTAATTATAAAAAAGCAGCGAAGTGTAGTTTTTTACTTCTTCGAAAACAGATTAGACTACGATTTGGGTATTTATCGTACGTCGAAGTGAATAAATGATGCAGCGCATGACTCAACTGGATCCACTAATGGTCTTTTCCAATAAATAAAATATTAATAAGGAATCTGATAGATAAAGTATCCACCAAATGAAAGAGAATATTGCCTTATTAAACCTCTTTTCGTTATTTATATGATCAAGATTATATTTATTTCTACTTTTAAATCATAATTGGAAATCTTAATTTTGCTTTCAAATCCCTAAATTTGCTACGAAAAGCGTCTACTTTAATAATTTAACGTAAAATATGTTTATCTGCTAAAATTTAAATGTTTCGACTGTTCACCAAATCTAATTCGGATTTATAACGTTTACCCAAATAACAACAAAAATGGTTGGCGCAATCTGTTACACAGCGTTATTGACTCTTTCTCACCAGTCAGCGGTATTGCTTTGCAATGTCGAACGAGACATTACGGAAAAATACCCATGTGTTCTTATTAATCACATATATAGCTGTAAGCTTCTCTAATGTACAAAGTCTTTTTAGTTTTGATGCAAGGGACGATTTTATATATTTTTATTTCAAAGGTGTATGTACAGTGTGTGTACTCTTCCAAAGTTCCAACTCCCTGGTGGAGAAAACAGCCTCACTTTTTGTTACCTTTCATGTTTAGGTGCAAGCACAGTTGGTATAACAACAACAAACCACCAGCGATTTATAAAATAAACAACAAAAATTTTATGGTAAAATTGCGGTCATGTCTAGTGTGCTGCTGGTGGCAAAAGAAAGCAACAGACACAAATACTAGCATACAGCCTCTTCATCTTTCTCCACTGCTTTTACTGCTGCTCCTGCTGCTGGTGATGGTGCTGCTGCTGGACAACAAGAATGAGAATGATAAACACAAACAAGTTTTGCAGTGTAAAATTTTATTATTGTACTCGCTGCGGCCTCCAAACACATAGCAGAATTTCTACTTCGCCAAGCATTTGGCGATATACCATAAATATTATATGTATATACGAGTATGTGTATTCGCTAATGTATGTGCATATATGGAATTAAATTTCAAGTTTTCAGTTTGTTTATATGAGTTGGAGAAATTTTCATGGATTTTTGAACTTTGCAGTTACGATTTTTTTTTTTAATTATTTATTATCTAAAATTGTTTAGTAATTTCCCAAAATTTATTTTTAATTTGGTTAGATTATTTTCTTTTGTATCTGTGAGCATCCATTTTTTTATGTTTTTCCTATTTAAATAGGCGGATCACGATTTAGTCTCCAGCAAATCTTTTGCGCATGCGTCACCAAAGCACAATTTCGGCTGTTTAATACATATATCAAGTCATTCACTTGGCATGGCAAAATGCTACTTGTAATTTATTCAAATTTAAGATAATTTTTCAATGTTTTATTCTTAATTCAGGCAAATTTTTTAGGCAACAACCTCTATTATATTCCATAAAATTTTTAATATTTTCAATATGTTATTTTTTCATTCACTTCACATTTTTTGTTTGATTTTATTTTATGCGAAAACTTGATTTCGGCTGACCGTCGTTTTTTTAATTCTTTTATATACATACGTGTATGTATGTATACTTGTATGATTTTTAATTTTTTTACTTTATACATGTACGTAGGTATATTTTTCAAGATTTTTACCTGCCACTACAAACACACACAATTCTTTTCTTATTGTATTCGCACTTTTGTTGTTATTCTTTTTTCGATATGTGTGTGTCGATATGCTTTTCGACCATCGATCACGCGAGACACGTCCACACGCAGCTATTCATTCTCAACAAATGTTGGTTACATACCAATGTGATTGGCTTAATACTCAAAATACGCTGTAGACTTGACTGCGAAGGTGCTGTGGCGTAATGTGGTGTGGTGAGTTTTAACCATAAGATGTTGATCGTTAAGCCGGGAAATACTGGTTTCATTGGACAAAGGTAAACAAAAATATAAACCAAAAAGTTTATTATTATAGTAAATAATGTGGCTAGCTGAATTAAATTGGTTTAAAAAAACATTGAATGTATTTTTAAGGTCTTAAAATTTACTTTTATTATAAAAAATGTGAAAGAAAATATATTAATGATATATATATATATTTTTAAATCTTCAAATCATTTAAATTATTTTATTAATATTTTAATGCACTGAAATGAAGAAATATATACATACATATATTTAAATTTACTCATTTTTCTTCTTTTTTTTAATTTTTTCCACCACCATATCATCCCATTAAATTACCCATATCCTCACTTCTCACCATACTAACTAGTTTTTTTGAGCGACTCTTCATGACTTAAATCTCTTTTGCATTCCTAATTAAAATGTAAAACGTGTTTACCAGTTTGTTTAGAATGAGCATGTGAAGAAAATTGGCAAAAAAACATTTCTTGGCATCGCATTCTTACCTCAATTTGTTGCGAGTCCAAAGAACGTACGTTGTATTTACGTTCTCTGGCGAGTCTCTTTTCTATTACTGTTTTGTAATAGATTTAAAATAATATCTTAGTATACTTTTAGGCGGCGAAAACTGCAGGAGCTATTAATTATACTGCTCTTGCGATTCATTTGATACTCACTGAGCCGGAGTTTTTGGAGTCAATTTTTTCAAAATTCAAAATGGCGGACCTAATATGAACACTAGTACCACAGAAATTCTTTACTGATAGCCTCATTCCAAAATTTGGTTACTATTTTAGATTAGATAGATAAAGTTGAATCAGTCGGCCCTTTTTGGAGACCGCCTTAGAATGTTTAACCTTCACTACCTATTACTCAAGCTCTGTCACTCTGCGCCCTTTGTTGTGTTATATTTAAAAAAAAAAAGCTTGATGTTCTCTTAATAAATTAAAGTAGGCATACTGATTATTTGTAGATGGTAATTAAAGTTCTGCCAATTGCCGGACACTTCCTGATTGTAGCACATCGGCTTATTATCTGTATTTTGGGATCCGAAGCAGACCTTATTTGAAAAAGATACCCCTTCTTATTATCAGTCCCAAAGTTGAAAGAGCATCCCAGTCACTTCTCCATCTCCCTCAATAGATGTTAACTCTATAGTTCCGACATGTTCTTAGTACTTGTTATAACCATTTCATATATCATCTAGTAACCAACAAAGGTGATAAATTTTTTAAATGGTTTGTATTAAATTAAATATATATATATATATATTATAAGGTATTAATATTATTAAGATTACTCAAACATTTTTTCAATTAATTTTTTCTTAAATCTAGTCAGTCCTTAGTAAATCCGATGAAAAGATTTTAAATAACAATTACGTGTTTATTTACGTCTCTGTCTCTGTTACGCCACTACGTAAAAATTTTTGCAGAAAAATTTTTTTATGGCTGGTGTGAAATTTGAAGCCGTACAACCTACCACAGATGCGAACTTTATTAAACTGCGTTCCGAAAAAGTCAAAGTTTGGTGTAGTTTATGCGCTGTCTATATGGTTGGACCGTACTTTTTCAGAGACGACGAAGACGAAACGTTACTGAGAATGTCGAGCGCTGCCATGCTATGATTACAAGTTTTTTTTATCCAAAATGGAAGACAGGAACTAGACTTGGCTGGCATGTGGTTTCAACAAGACAGTACCACTGGCATGTGGTTTCAACAAGACAGTACCACATGCCACACCATACGCGAAACTAAAGCCTAATTAAAAGGCAACCCCTCACTGATGGTGTATCTCATGTTGGGGCCAATCATATATTCTCTCCATTCTCTGGTTAGTTCTCGCCTTGCATTATCTTTTTTCAGCGTTAAATTGAGAGTCAATCTATCTGAAACCCCACTTGGTACCGACTTGTACGGCTTGAAAACATTATATTTCTAACTTTGCTTCTAGTGATGTACAGTGTCAGTGTCTAAATTGAGACATAGCGGCTAGAAGCTGATCCTTTCGAAAGCAGCTTTAAAATCCGATCAGGTAACCATATGAACGTCTAGTTTTTGGTCTAAATATAATAAATACAAACATTTCAGAATTATCACTTAACTAAATGTTGTAATGTCTTTATTTACCATGGTTAATATTTGCATTGAAAATATAACAGTTTTGCATTAAAAAATATTTAACAAACAAATTCATACCAGCTAAAGTTAAGGAGTATTTTATTGAATGTAATTTCAATTCATTGCTCAACATGAGTGAGTTCTTTATATAGTCTGTATTATTACTAAGATAACTATTAAAAAATTAAATAAATTTTAAAAGTAAAAGCACCGAGTTCGACATTTTACTCATTCCTCTCCCTGCACCTACAACGCATCGTCGACTTGAAATTTGATCAAGTCCTCAACTGGAAAACGAAAGAGTGAGGCGGCTTGTGCTTCCGACGCCATCTGATCGACGTTCGCTGAGTCGTTATACCGTTGGAAGCTACTGTGAGCCCCTATGCGATCATAATGTGTGGCGTTATCTGCCACATCCAATTTGTTACTCACCAAAGCTTCCGCGTGAGGCTGATCTGTGACGTCCGCGGCCACTATTGGATGTTCGAAATCCACCAAACCTTCCGGCTCCGAGCTGTCGCTTCGAGAGACCGGCTGCTCCGGCGAATTAGTTGAGTTGGAATTTTGCGACTGATGACGCGGCTCAATCGGCGAGAGCGACTCTCTTTCTTCGATTATTATGTGACGATTTATATTATTTTGATGTGGATTATAAAAAGGATTATTTGACGTTGGTGCTGGTAGTGCCTTCTGTTTCTGTTTGGGAAAGAGGTTCAGATGAACCATTATTTGATTTTGATTTGCTTTAGAGCTGCCCGTCGGACCGCTTGCACTTACACCGGTGGCGCCGGTCATATGTGGCGATATATCTAGCGGCATGAACGGAGTCTGGAACTGAGACTTTGAAATTTGATCGGGGAAGGTAATGTGCATATTATTCGGTTGTGGTATGTGAGGTTGTAGGTGAGGTTGGGCGGATGATGGAAACCTGAAGGGTGCAAACGACGAAGGTTGTTCATATGCGTGGTTGAAACCATAGGCAGCAGTGGATGGAATCATTTGTATTGGGTAGTAGTCAAGAAAGGGATTACGCCCTACTTGCGGTCTACGTGTTGATGAAGATATTTTGAATTCATCGTAGGTCAAAGCAGATGGTTTCAGATCTTTCGAAGGTGGGAACACTGGATAAATGTCGAGGTTCACTTTCAAAGGTACACGGGTCATTTTCGCACGCTGTGCCTCGCTCATCTCCAACAAAGGGTGATAGCTCGCCATGTACGGGTCTGTGGTGTATGGACGTTGATGGCTGAACTGCTGGAGCATCATATTGGTGCCGAGATTAGTCTGCTTTTGCTTGTTCTTCTTCTTATTTTTTGAAAGATTACTCTGTAACTGCAGAGCCAGCAGATTGATTTCATTCGGCGAGCGTGGTTTAAAGGGGTAAATCTGGTCCATAGCTATACGTTGTTGGTAGGCTGCCTGTGGCATCATATTCATTACAGGCGCTGGGTAGGGCTTCAACATTTGCATTTGCATATTCATCGGTATCGGCATGGGTATGGATAACTGCATTTGTTTTTTATGTCGCTTGCCACGAAAGAAATTGGCAATTCCGCTGGATTTCAGATTCTTCAACGATCCGGCAATATGTAAGCCCGTGGGCATCATTACCAATGGCGGCACTTTACTTGGTCCACTACCCAAATGTAATTGCTGCAATATGTCTTGAATATTCCGCACATCTCCGCGTTGCTCCTCTGTCTTCTTAAACTCCTGCGGCAGTGGACCATCGTGCGGAAAGTGAAAGGGTTTCGGCTTCTCCTCCTCTCTAAATGTCGCATTCAGTGGTATATCCATATATTGTCGCCTATTAAGCAGCATCGACGGTTGTCGTGATGTTAGACGCGGGGGACGTGGTATTTGATCACGCAGTTCACTTCGCACCGGAGTCATTGTCGACGAGCGCCGTGGCAATTGTTCATAAAGATGCAATGATTGCCGCTGACGTGTTTGTGCATTATTTGCGCTTGGCTGAAAATCACTATCAATGCCGCTGAGTCGCTGCTCTTCACCGCCCAAATTGTATGTGGTGCCACCGAAACTGCCCACCCCACCATCAGCGCCGCCAGCGCCAGCTCCAACGAACGGTGGCGGTTGAGGTCGTCTCGCTTTCGTGCGCCATGTTCCATAAATCGGTTGTTCGTACATAGAGCTGCTGCTACCACCGCCGCCACCAGCACCTCCGCCTGCTGCGACGCCCTCTCCTCCAACACCAATATCGGCACGCTCTAGTAAGTACGCCGTTTCAGCGCCATCGCTCGCATGCAACTTTTCCTCTTGCTCATATTGTTGATGTTGTTGGGTGGCTTGTTCGTGATGTTGTTGTTGGTATTGCTGCAATTGTTGTTGCTGTTGTAAATGTGCTTGTGCGCGCATCTCCTCCAGTGCCTCGATTTTAATGTGATTCGGTGTCCTCAACGGTCTCGTACGCGGCTGGACCGCATGGGTGCTTGGCAACTCTGTGCGCAGCTGCACTTCTTGCCCATCAATCTGAATCACGGTGGGCAGTGTGGTGTCAGCGCTTGTTGGATTGTAGCTCTGTATGTTACGTGTGCGCAGAGCTGCGGTTTGATTCTGATAATATTCGGCTGTGGATGCGACCTTCACTATCATCAGGGACATCTGAGGTTAAAATAAGAAAATTAGCAAAGCCGAGTTATGTATTAACTTTCCTTATAATAGTGGTCAATGATCATTTTTGGCGAAAATTTATAAATATTACATCAGTATTCAGCTCATCTCTTTTACAGATGCAATTGAATAAATTAATAATATTGATATTGAAAGAAAGAAATTGAAAGAGCAAATAATTGTGGCTCTGTTAATAGACTCGTGACGGGTTTATGATGCGATAGCCAACAGCTTCAGGGATAGCCTGAGAGTTTTTCAGCAACTCATGGAGAGGAATACGACCTGAAGAAGTGGAGTTTCGGATAGAAAATCATTTTCGCATTTTCTCTTTACCAGACGGTAGTGGAGTGCTCTGACCCAGAGCTCATTGGAGATGATCAATTACGCTTCCTGTGATGACAGAATATATGATATAATTGACGAGCTCCTCTTACGATTTGGGGACCTTTCTTATTTTTTTTCTAACAACTAAAGTGATATAAAGTTTATCGTAAAATATGTTCCCAAAAATCATTATGACGAGCTTTTTACTTCACGTCACAAAATATCTCGAGGTCCCATCTTGTACTGCCAGCCTAACATCTTCAGAAAAGGTTTAATTTTGTAGAGACGGTGAGTTGGTTTTACTTGGTTCTGAGATGCATCCCGCCCTTCGTGAAAAACTCGGACGCACAGTTCGTAGTTTAGGAACATTCAACAAGAATACGGACATATTTAAAAAAAGGAGGTAATTGGTACGCTGATAATATTTTAACTGAAGGAATCCTAATTTCCTTATGCTTTGTATCAGCTTAGATAACTACTAAAACCCTCCGTGCCCCAAAGAAGTAAAAACACCATTACCATGGTTAATTATTGGCTGATTGACTAATTGCCAAGACGAATAATAATAATTAAAGCCTAAAAAAGGTAAGATAATTATTTAAATGGAAAGAGTTAATAATTGGTCCTCTTCCCTTAGTCTAGAATTAGCCGTAAATCCTAATTATCCTACATAAGGATCATATGCATGTAGCAGGAATCGGGAACCGAACAGTTCGTGATGAGAGAAGAGTGAATTAGAGTATTGGCCAGACTAGCATTTAAATACTTTTTACTTAATGCTGAAAGCTACAGATTTTCTTTGGAATTCGTAGTGATAGTTCAGGATTCAATTTAACTGAAATTAAATGAATGGTCATGGAGGACGTCAACGCTTTTTTGCGATGTTGAATGGCGGCCGCTGTAGCTGAGTGAACATTCGGAAGGCCCGAGTTCATATCCCAGTGCCAGCAACATACAAAAGTTTTGCAAAATTAATTTAAATAAAAAATTAAGTTGAATTTTTTAATTGCGGTCGCCCCTCGGCAAGGAATGTCCACCCATCCGAGTGTATTTCTGACATGAAATAAAGGCTCCTCATAAGAAACCCATCAACCTTTCGAAGGCGGCTTAGCGTAAACTGTAGGTCCCTCCATTTGTTGGAAAAACATCAAGACGCAAAATCACAAGTTGGAGGAGGAGCTCGGCCGAAAAATCGGTTCAGCGGTTTCAGAGCGCCAATTATATATATAAATGATAGCGCCTTCATATCTAGTTACGAGACTTCATCAACCATTAAAAGAAGTAGGGGGGGGGGGGGGACGAATATCGGTTAAGCAGTTGTAAGGTAAAAATATATATAAAAATAAATATTTAAACTGAACGATTGCTTCAGAATTCCTGGTAAACCTCTACATCTTGGCGGAAAGGGATATAAAATTAGCTTAATACCTCAGTATTCGATTTTCTATTCAAAAGCTAACGTAGTAACGATGTAGTAGGTATTCTCGCTGACAATTTGATTCCGTTTAAACATATATTATATATTCAGGATAGGAAATTTTAAGAAATTTGGTTTGAAAATGTTTGAAGTGGGCCTTTGGAATTTATTTCACCAGCTACTAGTATAAACTTTATGAAACTTTGCATACATTATTGAATTTCATAATCTGATATATTTCATTAAATAAATTTCTCACCTGGAACTCCTTGATTAAATACTTACAAATATAATGCACATGAGCAGCATTCCGACGATCCACGTGATTACGCCCAAATTCACTAAACTACGCTGTTTCAGCAATTCCTCTTTGAAAGTATCCAATCTTGCGTATGGTATTAGATCTTTTAAAAACATTTTCCTTAAAAACAAACTTCAAAATATCCTGCTTATCGCGCGCGTACTTCTACTACCACAACTACAACTACAACTACTCTACCTACAATTCACACTCTTAACTCCTAAACTTCACCAAATGGAAATTAACTAAAACTCCCGTTTACAATTGTATTCAGCCAAAATATACGCCTTCTGACACATTGCGCATACGAAATATAACTGTTCGGAAAATTGCAACGAAAAAGCGTAAAGACTCTGCCGGTGCGGCGATTAAAAGGAAAGTTCCAAGCCAGGCGGTGGCGTTGGCGCTCGAGTTTTCTTCATTTATTATGCTTACTACTCAACACGCAAATAACAAAAACACATGGGCTAGAAATGTCTAAAACTCAATATACGTGTATGTGTGGGTGCTTGAGTGTGTTGGTGTAAAATTGTAATTGAAAATTTCAAAAGGGAAAAAAATTAAATTGGTTAAAAGTAGGTGTTGTTGTGAAGAAGTTAAATACGAGCACATTTGTTCACAATTAATTATTATGTTTGTATGTGTTTATTGTTATGTGTGTATGTGCATACAAACACTTCAAATCGTAACATGATTCCATGATTAATCTCAATCAGCGAAATGCAATAATTATTCCAACAACTAAATACTTAATTCAATGAAAAACTTGTATGAACCAACAATAACAAAACGCAAATAAAATTGTTACCGTGTGCATATTGCATAGAAAATATTAGTATTTATATACGTGTATTATATGAAACACTTTGTATGTAAGGAAAATTAGAAACCGTAAAATTGCAGTAAAACCCATTGGCACCGACTTTTTCACGTCTTTATTTGTGGTTTTCGCTTTTAATTTTGCTTGAATTATTTTTATTTTAATTTTTTTTTTTTTTTTGGGAATTGAATAAAAGCATTTACTTACACTTAACATTGAAAATTTTACACCAAAGAAATTATGAGAGTTACACTGACACAAACATATAAAAATTTGAGTGTGTTAGGGTGTTGTAAAAATTGTTGAAGGAATTTCGGAGTAATTTCTAATAATCAGGCAAATTCACCTCCATAACGTCGCTAACCAGCATCATGGAAATTATACACCTCATAAGTGCAACCACTTCACTTCATAACTTATCCGAAATCATAGAGAAAGCTTTACAAGGTCTTCTTCGCTCGTAGGGCCCGGAAAAATCGTAATATAATACGAACTCTATATGAAAATATTATGTTAGCCCGCCATTGTATATTGCACAGCGTTTCACATTGTTAGCCATTTTTATCTTACTAAGCAGCCCAGGTAGTAGAAACTCAAAGATTTTTTAGATCTCATTTTAAAAAAATATATATATTCAAAAATTTATTTATTATTTTAAATGCGAAATACAATTAATAATATTATTAATTTATATTAATATGTTCGAGGCAGCAGAAAATGAATTCTGTACGAATAAATCGGTATTCACTACAAGAACTTTTCCACGTAGCACCTCCGTATTAATTGTTAATCGCATTTAAATTCCTATAATCAGCATCTCTACTCTCTTTTAAGTTTTTAAATTTCGTTTTAAATTTTAATGCACCCTAATGATTTCGTGCGTGGGTGTTTTTAGTGAATATCCTCTAAGAAATTGGAGGAATACCGTACAGTTGCAATGAAACATTGAATAATAACGATTGATTCGTAACTTTTTACAACCGATAAGAGCTTTTAGGTGGTAGTATTGCACCTCCTGTATATAGTCTACTGTTTTAATCCACACTAAAAACGATCTGATGCGTTTTTAAGAAATACAATTGATACCAGATACAATCAATGAATGGATTTTGGGCTATCGAAAGCCATTCATAAAATTATATACATAAATGCCTTATAGACAGCGGAAAGTCTGCCTTTGATCAACGTAGACACATAATAACATTAAACATACAAGCCTATGTTTCAACTGCTTTAGGTGCGGCCGTACCTTCAACCAATTGGTCCGATTTCTTTTCTAGAGCACTATTGTTTAAGTTATGTATTCGTAAGGCATTTATGGCAGTACCAATGATTTAGATCATTCATCTTCAACCCAAGTATATAAATGGCTCAGCTATACAAATTATGCTAAATTTTCTAATTGCGGTCGCCCCTCGGCAGGAAATGTCAACCTCTGCGAGTGTATTTCTGACATGAAATAAAGCTCGTCATGAGAAACCCATCAGCCGTTAGGAGGCGGCTTAGCATAAACTGTAGGTCCCTCCATTTGTTGGAAAAACATCAAGACGCAAAACCACAAATTGGAGGAGGAGCTCGGCAGAAAATCGCTTCAGCGCTTACAGAGTGCCATGAAACGTAGAACATAGTCAAGCGACTCTCAAGTTGTTCGTTTATGTGTTGGCTGATCAGCTACACAAAAAGTCATCAAACAGAAAGCTTACCACCACACATTTCAGTATGTATTGCGTATGTAAAATTAAAAGTCAATATGCGGTGTTACTGTGTCTATATGGTGAGTGAATATGAGTAAACCAATTCATAGATATAATTTAGGACAATTCAGTGCGGTCCGTACTCATTACGGTTTTCTGATGAACATATTTTGTAATATTTTTAGATCTTGGTTTGGCCAGGTCCCACAGAATGCAATAGTGCGGTCGCTAAATATTCCAAAATTTAAACGAAATTTTTTACAGCAATCAAATTGAATTAAAGTTTTATTCTAATAAAAACCTCTTTTTGGTCTCTTGGCCTTTGGAATCTTAAATTTAATAAAAGTTTTTATTAAAAATTAAAATAAAAAATAATGTTACGAATTTTTCGTATTTTTTCCTTCAGGGTTATTAATAAATTTCAGCAGAAATGAGAAGCAGCACACTTTATTACTTATTTAGTTGTATAGGAAATCATTTAGCATTTTATATTTTATTAGCGGCTTTCATAAGTTCAGTTTCAAGTGTAAAAAATTAGCGGAAATTATTACTTCCTTCCATGTAGAGCCATGTAGAGTCAGATATTATTTCAAAAATAATTATTGATAAGTTCCTTTAAATAATTAAAATTATTTTCAAATATGGCTATCTGAAAATTATTACTTACAAATATATTGCATGCATATTTATACCGCTAAAATAACTATGAAATGTTCATTTTAATGCTGGTATAATACGCAGAATGTGGTTAACTAAAAGTCACAGCCGATGAGTGAAATCATGCTAAGGAATAAGAAATTATTTCATTTCATTTTTCCGTTAATTTGAAAAATTAAAAATAACAAACTTTGTACAGCTCTCCAGAGAACACATTAACTCAGATAAAAGTTCTGGATCCCATCCCAAGCCCATCTTAAAAGCTTGAAATATAACGTTTTTTGGTGATATTTAAAAATGAATATTTTTATTTAAACGCCCTGTCAAATTCACCCAACAACATTTTCCCCACAACCTGGATTCAAAATGGACTATTCATTTTTGAGTCAGAAATTATGTGTGGATAGCTTACGCGGGTTTTTCCTTTCTTTTGAAATGAAATTAATTGCATCCAAAGGCATTTTAAACATTTTTAGGTACATACATAATTTATTGTTTTCAATAAACTCTTTCATACAATGACAACTTGTTTGCCTTACAAAACTGGTAAAAAATTACATCCGAAATACAAAAACAAAATGGTGGATATTTTTTTCTTCATATAAAATACGTACGTCTAATTGTAAGAGTATTTTTTTTATTTTTAAGTATAAACAAAAAGGAAAAAACATTTGATATTCTTGCTATGCAGAGCTCTTGTGGGAGCCGAAAGTAAAAATAACATTCTCATATTGTATTGACTAGAGTAATCTAGCCCTAGTTTAATTGTTGGTACCACATCGCTAGATTGTGTTAGCTTTCGGCGTTAATGAGCTTCACCACTACTTTTTTTTATTTAAATATCCTTTAAAACTCGCAGGCTATCTTTCTTTCTTAACATAATATTGAGCAAATTCAACTGTTACAGTTAACTCGGCACTTAAAAATCGAAAGGAATGCTTGGCTTGGGATATTTGTAACCCTCATCCTTGGGAGTTGGTTGTGGTTGTGGTGGTGGGGGACGTGTTACTGGTGGTGGTGGTGGGCGAGTTGTTCTTGGTGGTGGTGGACGAGTCACTGGTGGTGGTGGACGGGTGGTTGGTTTAGGTGCTGGTGGCTGTGGTTTGTTGGTTGGTGGCAAGTAGGTTGGAGGTGGCCTCGTCACTGGAGGTGGAGGACGAGTTGTCTTCGGTGCTGGTGGACGAGTCACTGGTGGTGGTGGACGGGTTGTTGGTTTAGGTGCAGGTGGCTGTGGCTTATTGGTGGGTGGTAAGTATGTTGGACCTGGAGTAGTGCGGGGTGGTGGAGGACGAGTTGTCTTCGGTACTGGTGGACGAGTGACTGGTGGTGGTGGTGGACGAGTTACTGGTGGGGGTGGGCGGGTTGTTGGTTTAGGTGCTGGTGGCTGTGGTTTGTTGGTTGGTGGCAAGTAAGTTGGTGGTGGCTTAGTCACTGGTGGTGGAGGACGTGTTGTCTTCGGTGCTGGTGGACGAGTCACTGGTGGTGGTGGGCGGGTTGTTGGTTTAGGTGCTGGTGGCTGTGGTTTGTTGGTTGGTGGCAAGTAAGTTGGAGGTGGCTTAGTCACTGGTGGTGGAGGACGTGTTGTCTTCGGTGCTGGTGGACGAGTCACTGGTGGTGGTGGGCGGGTTGTTGGTTTAGGTGCTGGTGGCTGTGGTTTGTTGGTTGGTGGCAAGTAAGTTGGAGGTGGCTTAGTCACTGGTGGTGGAGGACGTGTTGTCTTCGGTGCTGGTGGACGAGTCACTGGTGGTGGTGGGCGGGTTGTTGGTTTAGGTGCTGGTGGCTGTGGTTTGTTGGTTGGTGGCAAGTAAGTTGGAGGTGGCTTAGTCACTGGTGGTGGAGGACGTGTTGTCTTCGGTGCTGGTGGACGAGTCACTGGTGGTGGAGGTGGACGGGTGGTTGGCTTAGGTGCCGGCGGCTGTGGTTTGTTGGTGGGTGGTAAGTAGGTAGGACCCGGAGTAGTGCGTGGTGGTGGTGGACGTGTCACCGGTGGTGGTGGGCGAGTTGTTGGTTTTGGTGCTGGTGGTTGTGGTTTATTAGTGGGTGGCAAGTAAGTTGGTGGTGGCTTCGTCACTGGAGGTGGAGGACGAGTTGTCTTCGGTGCTGGTGGACGAGTTACTGGTGGTGGCGGGCGCGTTGTTGGTTTAGGTGCTGGTGGCTGGGGTTTGTTGGTTGGTGGCAAGTAGGTTGGTGGTGGCTTCGTCACCGGAGGTGGAGGACGAGTTGTCTTCGGTGGTGGTGGACGAGTTACTGGTGGTGGCGGGCGGGTTGTTGGTTTAGGTGCTGGTGGCTGTGGTTTGTTGGTTGGTGGCAAATATGTTGGACCTGGTGTTGTTCTTGGTGGTGGTGGACGTGTTACTGGTGGTGGTGGACGGGTGGTTGGTTTAGGTGCTGGTGGCTGTGGTTTGTTGGTTGGTGGCAAGTAAGTTGGTGGTGGCTTCGTTACTGGAGGGGGAGGACGAGTTGTCTTCGGTACCGGGGGCCGAGTCACTGGTGGTGGTGGTGGACGGGTTGTTGGCTTAGGTGCTGGAGGCTGTGGTTTGTTGGTGGGTGGCAAGTATGTTGGTGGTGGTCTCGTCACTGGAGGTGGAGGACGTGTAGTCTTCGGTGGTGGAGGACGAGTCACTGGTGGTGGTGGACGGGTTGTTGGTTTAGGTGCCGGAGGCTGCGGTTTGTTGGTGGGTGGCAAATATGTTGGCGCCGGAGTTGTACGTGGTGGAGGAGGACGAGTCACTGGAGGTGGTGGTGGACGAGTAGTTGGCTTAGGTGCTGGGGGTTGTGGCTTGTTGGTTGGTGGAGGATAGGTCAATGGATTTTCGGGCCTATCATAGACATATGTAGTACGTTCAACTGGTGGGCGAGTTACTGGCGGTGGTGGTGGACGCGTTGTCGGTTTTGGTGCCGGTGGCTGTGGTTTGTTGGTTGGTGGCAAGTATGTTGGTGGTGGCGGTGGACGTGTGGTTTTTGGTGCTGGTGGACGTGTCACCGGTGGTGGCGGTGGACGCGTTGTTGGCTTAGGTGCTGGTGGTTGTGGCTTATTTGTGGGTGGCAAGTAAGTTGCTGGTGGTCTCGTCGCCGGGGGTGGGGGACGTGTCACCGGTGGTGGTGGTGGTCGCGTCGTTGGCTTAGGTGCTGGTGGTTGTGGCTTATTTGTGGGTGGCAAATAAGTTGGTGGTGGTCTCGTCGCCGGGGGTGGTGGGCGAGTTGTCTTTGGTGCTGGTGGACGAGTCACCGGCGGTGGTGGTGGACGCGTTGTTGGCTTAGGTGCTGGTGGTTGTGGCTTATTTGTGGGTGGCAAATAAGTTGGTGGTGGTCTCGTCACCGGGGGTGGTGGACGTGTAGTCTTCGGTGCTGGTGGGCGTGTCACAGGTGGTTGCGTTGGGCGCGTAGGTTCGGGAAATGGTATGGAGGGTGGAGGGTAATCATAACCCTCAGCAGCACGTGCTTTTCTCTGGAATGCGAAAAAATTGTGATTTGTCAGTTACAAGAGTTGGTCAAGAACAAGGGGAAGAAAAGGATATGACTTAAAATCGTTGCACTCACCAAAAGTGTATCCGTGCTTGCATCGGCATAGATGCCGGCGACGCAAAGCGCCAAAATAATAAGAGCGCTCCTCTGCAAATAAATAAATTATATTTCAATGTTTAATAGGTCGCTTTTACGGTATTATATTTGTTATTTTATTATATCCGTTTTTATTTGAGTTTTTAATTTATTTGTTTTATTTTTATTTATTTTAGTTTCATCCATCTTTTTTTATTTAAATTGAGATGATTGATTTTTTTGCTCAAACTCTATTACCATGCAGGAATTCGAATAATTTTCCGCTTGTCTTAAGTTTAGGGGTTGGTGATCTATTTTTAGTGCTTATATACTTAGTATTATGTATGGTACATACATGTATATATGTATGTACGCGCGTGGTTATAAAGTGCACTAAGTGCTTTTTGTTTGCGCCTTCTTTTAATTTGACGTGATAATTAAAATCGTACTTGAAATCTTCTATACTAATGGCCTTCGGTAGTATATGTCTGTATGTATATACAGATTTAAAATAAGTATTGCAATTAATCAAATATAATGAAATGTGCAGTTAAAACTTCTTTATTTGTTAAGAAAATTAGTCAAAACTATTAATATTATTATTATCATATAACCTTCTTCTCTTAATGAGAGTAGAGGAGCGAATAGATTAGAATGGCTTAGTTGGTGATTCAACATCAGACATCAGTTATCACCGCCATCATCGTATTCAGCTAACCATCATCGCAATGCTCAAAAGCCTACAGCAGTAAGAGGCTAGCTGACATTATCTTTTAATCTATAAAAGTATTCTGGAAAAAAAATGTAACCACAAAAATTTGAAATCTTAATTTTTCATTAATTCATACACAAATCCGGATCTCCATTAGCATTGAAATTTGCGAGTGCCATAATTTAACATAAAATATTTATAGAAAAGGAAAAGAGAAAAAACATAGAGCAATAAAAAATATTCATTAGCGCAGCTTTAGCGAAATAATACTGGTTCTATTGGCTATATAGGGCTAAAAAAAACTGATGCGCCAAAATTTATTCCAAATGAGGGACATGTGTATGTACACGTATGTTAATCTTCTGCTTTTGTTTTTGAGCTTGTTTTTATCTTTGCGATAGTATTTGCATGAAATATCTTTTGTCAAACATGTCTAACTCGCTTTTGGGTTGAACTCTTAAATTTTTTAAGAATATTAATTCAACATAATAAATTTATTTTTTCCATTTTTTTGTATAGAAACGCATTCGAGATTTGTCTTCAACTTAATGTGGCTAAAGTTAATTTATGTTAATTGATTGTTCTTTTTGTTAGCGTGTGGTTGGCTCATCGATGGCCTTGCAAGACTCTAACTGAAATTTTTATATACGAGTGTAAAAAAATAATATTTGCTTTACGGTATTGCTATATTAGATTTGTGTGTATATTTTTTAATTATTATGTTCATAAATTCAGTTGTCAGTTATTGTACATCTTTGCATTTTTAACATTTTGAACGAAAGTGAAAGGAATTACTATATTAATGTGTGTAATTAACTCAATGATGCTCCTACAATATTAATTATATTACGGTTAATTGAAACCAGTCGGTAGCAGAAAGCTCTTAACCAAGCATATAATAACAAAATGTTAACGCCTTGAAGTGATATTTAGTTCAATAAATAGTCTGCATTTTCTCAATGATTTTATTGGAAGTATTTATTTGTTTGAGTGACTTTTTGTGCTTTAACTATTTTGAACAATTTGCTAAATTCTTTGGAACATTTTATAATTTTATTTTAACATTACATATATTTATTATATGTTTCGTACTTAATAATAAATTATTTAAAAAATCTAATTTCTTTCTTTATAATATTTTTATTATTTTTGAAATTTCACTTATGTTTTTCTCCGATTCGGCTGTCAACTACTCTTTCGGCTTATTATTTTATTTATTTTTTTCCATTTCTTAGAAACAAGTGCATATATATTGTATTCAACCAATAAATGAACGATCAATTTATACAAAATTTACATTCACATTAATGTGTTTATTTGTTGGTGTGGCTTTGTTTGGGAATAATTTTGATTGATGAGCGGCAAAGTGTGTTTTTGTCAAAAACAGAAATATAATGTAAGGGGCTAATAATAAAACAAATGTCCAAATTAAAAGCAATTAAGGAAAAATGAGAAATTATGTGTGTAATAAGCGAAGTATCTAACTAGTTCAAGGACATTTAAGTTTCTTGGCATTTGGTGATATTTAGCGGTATTTTGTTGTGAGAAAATAATATGCAGAGGGGAGAAACCTTAATATTGAAGAAAATATTGGATAATAGCTTAATATTTGACAATCACAAAGAAATATATATAAAATTAATATTTCTCAAGCAGTTGTTAACATTCTTCTATTTGTTGTTATGTTATTTATTTCTTCATGTTTTTTTTATAAATTTTGCATATAGAAATATATAATTTCATATTATGTCATAAATAAATTTAATTTCGCTTATTATATTTTATATATTTTATTTGCTTTATTTTACTCCTTTTTATTTTACTGTAATGTATTTTATTAAATTTTATTTCTTTTTTTTGGGGTTAAGTCATTTTTTATTTCATTTAGTGTTTTTTTTTATATTTTATTTTACATTATTTTGTTTAATTTCATTAAACTTAGGTTTATTTTATGGTAATTTATTACATTCGTTTTATTTTACTCCATTTCATTTCAATAAAATATATTTCAACAAATAGAATTTCGTTCGGGGTCGCTATAAATTTTCACATATTTTTTTCTAAATTCATCCCTGTTGAAAGCATTACATTTATAAAATTCATCTCAAAACCCAACTGCATCAAGCAAAATTGCTAGTTAAACAAAAGACTTAAGCAACGAACTCGTTATGCAGTACAGAAGAAATACATTAGAAATACTAAGTACTTATATGAATGTAATAATTCATACATGCAAATATATGCGTTTACAAATCGCTTTATCTGTTCATTGGCGACTGAATTAAACAACAGACGAACATAAAATACACTTTAAATTGCCCACACACAAATGACTGTCAAGCGAAGATAATCGCTGAAACGATAATCATCTTGATGCTGTTGTTGAGGATGACTATAAGCTATCTATCGGTCAGTAGCAGTTGCTGTGATAAGTTGCTGTTGCTGCAATTGTTACTGTTGGTATTGACTTTGTTGCAGTTGTGTCAAATATGAAGGCGAACGTGACGCTGACCATTACGAGTGATATTTCGCTTATTGAGAAAATGGCATAACCTGCTGCATAGTCTGTAGCGTTGTTGGGTAGCAACATGATTTTTTTTTTTTGAATTTATTTGAATGCATTTCAACAACATCAGCGACAACTTTGCCATCAAAATTCTATTAAAGTGCACAAAAAGAAACATGGTATGTGTCGTATAATGGTGTGTTTACAACCTGAAATGCAGCAAAAGGCAAAAAAGTATGCATCTTATATGCACATCTGCCATTGAAGCGAATAAAATTTAATTTTTGCAAGAATTTTTCACAAAATAAAAATATCACGATTGGGTGGCGATTCATTGCCAATACGAGTAATATGAATGTGTGATTACTATCGTTAGCATCTGCAGCCACAACAGCGTCATCTGTAAATACAGCAATAACAACCAATAGCAGCATCAATATCATCATCACTCATTTAGCCAAACAAGCAGGCAGTCAAGCAGCAGCGGTCTCAACTCTCGGGGTACTCGTCGTCACCCATGTAAATATGCATTTGGGTATGTGTGTGTTGACGATCATTTTTGCGCAAGTTACAACATAATTCAATTTATTTTGCTTTTCTTTGCTTACTTGTTCGCTAGGTTGTTTGAATGCTTGATTTTTGTGTCATTCATTTATTTAATTTCAGTTTTTTTCTTTTTGTCTTTGCTCATCTAGTACTTAGTTAATGTCACATAAGCCCCCGACAGACCGATGGACTACTGCATTCTTCAAAGAGGGCGATTGCATATTTTTAGTAAATATTTAAATTTTGTTGAAATATTCACTGCATTTGTTGTTATTTTTAATACTGAAGTTTACACTGGCCTGATTGGCAATTGCATTTGGCTTAAATTGTTCATTTGTACCGCAATTACAAATTTGCTCAAGTTTACATTGTCTCACCAGAGTTTTTTCGTAATATTTAATTATATCACTGTTATTTACGTAGTCACTACATTTTAAATATTTGTCCATATGTAACTTGGTGTGATATATTTATGAAGTTTTTCCGAGTGAAAGATTTTTAAAAAGTCGAAATATCTAAGATTTATTTATTTAATTTCTGCTTTCTTATTTGTTTTATATCACTTCTTCTTTATTTTAATTTTTTTTTATTAATATATTTATTTTGTCTATCTTTTTTTATAAGTTTATTTTAATCTGTTTTATTTTTTCGAATTTTATTTTCTTTTATTTTCTTCTATTTCGTTTCAATTTATTTCATTTTATTTTATTTTATTTATTTTAATATATTTTTTTATTTATGTTTTAATTAAAATTATTTAATATACTTTCTTTTTGTAGTTTTTTTATTTTTCTATATTATGTTAGAATTTTTATTTTATTTGTATTAAATTCACTTTTTTTATTGTATGTTTTTTTTTTACCATTTTGAGCACAATTCAATCACAACTCCCGGTCGTGAACGCGTAATCCTTTTGTATTTCTGCGAGTTTTTGTGTATAATCCTTTTTATTGGAAAATTTTCGTTGTATCGATTCAGAATTCAACTCTCTACTATTGAATTCGATCGATCGTTCTGCAGACCAAACAAATTATGAACGGTCAACCACAATGCCGTTTATAAAGGTAAAGAGGAAGAAGCTACTAACTAAGCGATCTCTGTTGGTTCACTTCTAGGTTGAGTGCGGGTTACCAACTAAACCATCAAAACCTATAGATTTTCTATATATACTCGGAGCAGATGATTCGGCAAGTCAACGTATGGGCGATAACTGGTAGTACACTCTGACCGATTGAAGATCGGAATGCTTGAGAGCTTCATTCAGCTTTGGATGCTGGCTGACTTGCTGCCTGCCTGCTCGCTGCCTACTTAGCTGACTGGCTAGTTGGCTTGACTTGGCTTACAGGTTATTTGGTCGCTTTGTTGCTGAGCAAGCTAATGTGTTTTTTTTTTGTTGTTGATTAGCATTGTTGGTGTTGGTGGCAAAGAAGATGCTACAATCTGCTAAACATACACACGCACATAAAGCGCTAAGCTAGCGAAGACGCTCAGCCGCCAAGCACAAGCAGTGTAGCCAAACATTATCAAGTCACTTCCACTTTTGCTATCAACGCTGCTTGGTTCGCGGCCAACGCCACTGCCACTGCTGTTGACGTCGCTGCCAACAAAATAAAGAAAATCTTCAAATTATCTTCCATCAAAAACTACAAATCGCTTTATGCCAAATGTTCGTCTGATGACGTCTTTTTTGGTGATTTCTACAAATCATTAAAGTCACCAAAGGCCACAGCAACACAGGCACGTACACACATACATACCTGGCTACATTTTTAATGTGATTTTATAATCGTATATATTTAATATTAATATTCAATAGCTAAGCTGCAAATGGTGCTAAAGAAGAAGAAGAATAGGCAAACGCGCCTCAATTGACCGAAAACTTAAAAGCCTCACCGTGTAAATTGTACTATGAATTTTCGACTCTTTTCGAGATTTTCGTGTTTTTTGAGTTTTCGAGTTTTTGTCAACTTCGCACGAAACTAGATTGCAATGAAAATCTGGTATTGACGTTCATTCTGTACGTCGCGTCGACAGCAACAACTAATTTGGTGCATTTTTGGGGTACTAGCTCATCTGCTGGCGTCGCGTCGACCGGATCGGCTGCGCGTTGATGAGCTCTTCTTCTGCTTCTACTCCATACTCTTCATGACTGTCCGCCCGTCGTGCGGTTGGTGCTAAATGTGCGATCATGTTCGAGAGCGTTGTCGAAATTGCCCCTTGCACATATGTACATACACACAAACATGAGTATTGTACATAAATTCGTATATATGCACGTGTGTGTGCCGTTGCGTGCGTTCATACATACGAAATTGTTGCATGCTTTTGAGGTATAAATTGGTGACCTAGTAGACTGCAATAATGTTGTTGGGTATTTTGTATTATACTGATACTGCAGTTGTTGTTGGGCATATAGTGGTTAATTATTTATTTCGTGCTAAAAATTCAATATTTTGACTAATAGTATTGGCATAATTGCTTAAAATAAGAAATGAAGTTTTCAAATTGAGAAGGAAGATATTTTATTCTCGTTGAAATTATGAAGTAGGCCTCTTGAACTTAATCTCACTTGGATATTAATTTAATAGTCTAATTTAACTAAGGACATCTTGTTGAATCGGTTGAAATTTTACAGAATTTAGAAACAATGGAAAGTATCAATCGCAATCAGGTCATACTTTAGACACTTAAAACGGTCAGCGCTTCGATTTTTTCTTAATTCTTTCAGTGATCAGATATATATTGGACGATGGCTCGTTGAGCTTTGTTAGCACTAAAATTGTGATAAAATCTTTAGGTGATATGATAGTTTCCCACTACAGTTTTAGGGCTTTGATTGAATTCTCGCAAATTGACTACAAATTTTCCCTATTAAAGAAAAGCGTAAGAAAATAAAACTAATTTCACTTGCTTCCTTATCAGTGGAAATCAGTAATTTCCAATCGCCATTTGTAAGAAGGCAACCTCCTAAAAAAGAATTTAACAAGGACTATTACACCACATTTAAATTTTTACTAACATATCGAGTCATTTGATAGACATAATAGTGAATAATCCAAAATATCCTAAATGTTGTAGAGGGTATAAATAATAGTTCTCGATTAGGAAAAGAGAGGAAATTGGAATATGGTAAACTAATCGAGTGTAGAAAACATCAGTAAACTTTCATTTTTCTTAAATTTAAGTGCCAAAAACTTTCTGCCTGTACACTAATGATTTCATGACTAACTAAAAGCAGAAAAACTATTATTATATCTTTCATGAACGTAAAATGGTATATGAACTTTTGTCCGATATATTTGAGTCCCAGAAGGAGAAGACATATACGCGTACATATGTATATACCCATCAAAAACTTAGTATGCGGGTGTACTTATGTAATTTATTGATTTCTGCAGATAAGTGATTTTGTTTCAATTTGGTATTCTTCATACATAATTGCGCATTGGTACTCAAAGTCTTCGAAATTGGAAGCTTTGTAAGTGATACAACCAATTTTTCAGATATAAGATTTCGGTTGAAATCGTCTAGAACAACACACAATACAATAAATTTGATATGCTCATTAAAGGTATAAAGATTTCGGCATGGACGTAGGAAACACTTATTTCATAATTTATTGCTTACTTCAGCCCCCAAGCCCACTATGTGATGATCTCAAACTATTTATTATGTATGTACATATATAATATTTATTTTAATTATTGATGACGTAGGACTATTTCCGGCAGCGAGGAGTGTTTTTTGAAATTTTTGACATTTTCCGTGTGAAGCATTCTGTCTGTCTGCGTGTTAAGAATTTACGATTACAAACACCATAAATTTGTAAAATTCACTTTGTTTGCTTAAAATGTTAAATTTAACATGAATTATTAATATTTTTATTTGAAACAGAACGTTTGTGCTATGAAATCAATTTATGCTAGTATTTTAGGCTTTGATGTAAATTATTGTTTTGTTCATATTTTCTCTTGTTCATTTAGCTGTACTCTGTGGTCCGAACAGCATAAATTAGCCGAAGGTTGTAGTAGCTGAATAGTAGGCAGCGCGTACTGTCATACGAAGATGTCGAAGATCATGAGATCAATCCACGATTTCAAACCGCATCAGTGGTTGCAAAGCACCAATTAAGTTAATTTAGATATATAAATATATAAATCCATATGTTGAAACTGCGGAACTATATTTTCGTACCTTTTTTTATAGTAGATGCAGAATTAGATTGTTGGGCAGCAGAAAGAGCTTAACGGATGGATTTACGGTTAATATTCTTAGTTATGACTCTGAATTCTGCCATCGAGTGCCGGTGTCGCTTTTTTCCATAGTTCTCATGAGCAATGATTTGATGAGAACGAAAAGAACGAAGGTTGATCTAACCATATCTGTCCGTCAGTATGCGCTGCAAGAGATATGCGAGGCATGAGGATATAAAATTAGATACTATCCTTTGGTTACTTCTCTTAATGGTAGACTTGTTCTTTGGGGCGGCATATTTTTCTACTCAGCTTTCATACTACCGTCGTATTCTTCCTGTTCATGTAATCTCTATCTTTAGATTGCTTTATTACCTTGAGAATTTCGCTAAGATTTATTGAACCTTTTGGAAAAGATCGTGAAGCCCAAAAATATTGAGTCAGTTTCATAAAGTCTCAATGGCACCAATAAGTTCTGAGACATATGAAAATTGTCACAATAACCAATGATGCAATCGGAATCACTTTTGACGGCACAAAAAGGTCGATAGAAATAGAGGCATGTAACTACAAATCGCCATACATTCACTCATTTCGATTCGAACATAGCTCAACCTTACTTGCTTTTTTTCTTTCGTTATTACGAAAAAATTAAATGGCTGTAAAACACTGATTTACTACTAAAATCTTAAAAAATGCAACTGAGAAAAATTATAAAGATGGCCGTTAAATTCAATAAACAAAAGAAACAAAACGATAAAGAATTTAAAAAAATATGATTTGATGTCGGTATGTTTGTATATACGTGTATGCACATAATACGTGTTTGGTTTAATAGAGCCTATCAAAATTTCAAACATCACATACGTCATTAGGATTCAGTAAATACACAACACACACACACACATGGCAACATACATACGGGTATATGTTAGTATGCACCTAAATGTATGTATGCAAATTACATTAGCGCAATGTGATTACGACTTTAACCTGCCGACAGCTCAAATAACGCTGCAAACTGGCAACAACAGCAGCGGCAGTGAGTGGGACGAAATAAATCTTCTTTTCGTTCTTCTTTTTCTTCTTCTTCTTCTTCTTACAACGTCGCTGTTGAGAAGTTGTTTAATCCGCTGATGAGCTGCCGAGTTGCAACGCTTGCGCGCGAAGTCGGTCAGTAACGCTGGACGGCGAAAAACAAAAAAAAACCGCCGAAGATGCTTCATGAGCACAGGGTGAAGCGCCGCGCTGGATTTGATCGAGTCGTTTGTTACAAGTATTACAGTTTCTCAATGCAAACATATACGTATTGTACATACATAACTACATATCTACGTGATGTATGAGATTCTTACTGTGCGTTAGTATTAGTAAAAGCAAAGAAACCCGCATATAAATATATGTATTTATGGCCACTGATGCGGCAGTTGAATGAAGGCGTAGCGAGAATTCGCTTAACAATTTGTTGTTGGTACCGGTTTCACGCACAGACATAACAACATACCATTGCGAGTTGAATGTTAAGGTGGGCACAAATTCACAAATCATAAAAGTCGAGGAATACATACATACATACTTACCCATGTACATTCGATGCAAAAAGTAAATTTAAAAAAAAAAATGCAAAAACAACTTGCAATCAATCCACAGTAACGCTATAAGTAGCTGTGTATATTAAAATCTGTGCACATACGTGTATGTATGTATGCACACATACGTACAGAGAAACAAGTATACATACATACATACATATGTGCATACAATATAATTCGAATTAACGAAGTTTAATGCGGCAACTTGTCCAAGTGACCTTTAAACGCTACACAAGCTGTGTGACGAGTGACCGCTAGGACGCCACATTATGCAGTTACTACGCCGACACTGTGCAGCTTGAAAAAGAAGACTCACTTTTTTGGAGCGCGAAATACACGACGTTTACTTACCAAATGACAGACTAAGAAGGAAGAAGAAGAAGTTAATAAGAAAAACAAAAATAAAATTACGCTTGGATGAAAATCTCCATATATAAAT